AAAAGTCAAAATGGCCCCGGCCTACATAGCCAGCCGGCCGATCGACGGTGTTCCGGCTGGTTTTGCCGGTCAGTCGGCCAAAAATCACACATTTTCGGACATTTTCTCGTCAGAAATCGCCTGGTACAGAGGATTTTATAATTTTTTGAGATTTTTAAAAAAATGACAGGAGCAAAATGTCTAAGAAGAGCAGTATACGTAATAATAGGACGGCAAATAGTAACACGTACATATAAATATATAATTAAAAATTCACAAAATCTTATCTACCTAATGTGGCAAATAATAGATCTTGCACATGCAAGTGGTCACGACTTAACATGTCTACAGTAGAGCTTCAAATGAGCCGAGCCGAGTCGAGCACTGACTTTATCGAGCAAGATTGATTTTTTTTTTTTTTTTAGCTTCTCGAGCTCAAGCTCGTCGAGCTCGATTATGAGGCTAGAGCTCGAGCTCGAGCTCGATAAAAGATACAATAGCTCGAGCTCGGCTTGTTCGACTCGCATTCAAAATGCTCAAGCTCAGCTCGAGTTCGGATCGAAAGTTTTCAAGCAACTTTATAAAATTACCATTAAGTACATATATTAATATTATGATGCATATATATACAATGGGTATTTTAGTAATTTAATATATATCTCAAGCCACTCGACAATATAAAATATGAGCTCGAGTTCAGTCAAACTCGAGCTCGAGCCGCTCGATTGTGTGCAGGCGTAGTCTACAGTGAGTTAAGGAGCATTTTTGTATGTAATAAAATATACTGATACAAGTCGATCCAACACATGTACTATAAAAATAGGAATCTCNAAAAAAAAAAAATGAATACAAAAATTTTCTGGCCAAGCCCTTACAGCTCGTTAACATTCAAGCCTTAATTCAATCATGTTGCATACGTGGAACGACCTAACATTTATAAACCTCCCCTCAGGCAGGGAACTTCAAACCAATACGAGTCCAGTTGCTAATTACCGAGTTCTCATTCTAAACAGCAACTCAACACAGCTTTCATTTGTATCTATATATATTCTAATCTGATCCTTCGCAACACGAAACAGAAGCAACTTACCCATTAAAAGCATGAGGTGTCCCATTTTCTTCATTGGATTTCCTATGACTGTAGCTTTCTGTATCGGGAAGAGATTCCCTACAAACTTCTTTAAGTTTTTGTGGTGCCAGCATCTTCTGAAAAGTCTTCATTAACCTCTGCATTTTGAAATTTCGAACTCTCTAAGGAGCTTCAGTTTCACGCGCACTGCTTTTCAGCAAGAGTTGGGGAGCAATTTTAGGTTTTTTCTGAAAACCCATTTTGCTCGATTTTTATTACTGGCTTGACATCAGTTGTCCTTGGGTTCAGATTCACTAATAGCATCTGAAACAGGATGTGCCGACTTATCTTGCTCATCAGTAGTCATTGAAGGTACGGTTGTTTGTGCAGAAACAGAATCCAATGATTCAACTTTGTTGTTAGCCTTGGACTCGAGGCATGGCCCACAATTGCTGCTTTCCTGTCTATCAGGCATTTCAGAAGAAACGAGCAATTGAAGTTGATTGTGAGTTGACTCAGAGCCCTTAACGCCTGCCATTGAACAACAAAGGTGAAATATATTAGGGTTGGTTACAGGAACTACCCCAAGAGTTAGCCTATTTTTTATATTATTGTCTTGCGAACACCCTGCAAATTTTTAAATCACAATACGCCTTTGACATTTATTAATCTTGATAAATCGTGTGTTCAAGAAAGTGAAATTTGTTATTCGTAAAACAGGTATATCTCATCGACTTTATCTTATCTGTATCAAGAAGAAGTTCATTACAACCTTCGTCTTCAGTTTTCGTGGGGCCAGCATCTTCAGCAACCTCAACATTGAGCTCAGCATTTCCAGACTTTGAACTCTCTACAGTGACGCCACTAACAGAATCCAAGGAAGGAGTTTCGATTTTGCATGCATTCGTTTCAGCTTGATTGGGAGAGCATTCCGAGTTATCGGGAGATTCTCTATGCTCGATTTCAATCTCAGGCTTCTGGAGAGTTGTTTCCTGGGTGTGAAGAGAATGATGAGCACATTCACTAATAACAGCAGCTGATAAAGGAGGTGCTTCATTATCCGATTTGTGAACAGCCGCTGAAGGAGGTATTATTGTCTGTGGTGAAGGAGAATCTACTGATTCAGCTTCCTCGTTTGTCTTGGGCTTGAGACCCGGCCCAGAATCACTATTCGCCTCTTTATCGGGCTTTTCAACTGAAATTGGTGATCGAGGTTGATTGTTCATTGTGATGGAGACATTCACGCCTTCCCCAAAAAATACATAGCTTAGAAAAGGAGAAGTAAAGTATCTTACGGTAAATAGATTGAAATGATAAAAATTATATACCAAAAACCGAAAATATTTACCATCAGAATTTTCCTGCTTCACTAACTGTTTCTGCAGCATATCTGTCCCTGGAAAAACCAACATGTTCATGGACTTTATTTCTTTCTTGTGCAAATCCTCAAGTTTTTCGAAATCAAAAACTCGAATCCACGTGTTCATATGCTCTGATATGGTGGGAATGATCAATCGTCCAACCTTGAGCGAAGAAAGTTCCTGAAATAACAAAAAGTCGTTATTATATCACAAGTCCAGCAAAACAAAGCAAAAAAATTAAATTAGTCCAGCAGTTTAGTATTCAATACACATCCCAGGTTCGAATTGTTTTAGAAGACCAACAAATGTGAAACATATTAGTTAAGTCCAACAATCCTTACAGTTTCAATGGCGGATAAAAGGCGTCTGCACATTCCTTGTCGCCTATAGATCTCACGAGTCCCGATAAATGGCATCTCAGCCAAACGGTCTCCATGGAGCCTATCAAGTGAAATACTAATATGTTCAGATGGCTTTACAATGTCTGCAGATAGAACTAAAGAATCAATAACTCATGCAAAGCTTATACTTCCATTTTTAAGGTTGCTAAGGTGTGTTTTAACTTTTAAGCCCCAAGTACAGAAAATGCCAGCAAGAAGCATACCTGATAGATGCCGCAGATATTATTTCATCCCCCTGCTCCAAAATTACCGTATAAAATCCGCGAAAATTCAGCCGGTTAAAATTTGATCTGCAAAAGAAGGCCTGATAGGATAAGTTATAAATATTTATTTATTTGTCTGNCCTATTAAAATGTGTTCCAGTTTTTATTAATTTTTCTCTGTGCCTACTGCCAGTAAGATACAGAGAGTGTAGGTGGATAGACGTAAAAAAAAATGGAAAATGCAAAATGGTACAGATACTCTGCGGGCAGAGAAAGAACCAATTGAACTACTCGTTGGGAAACTAATAAAAAACTAGAAGATTATATTAGGAAGTGTGTTACAGTGTGTGTATGAAGCACCAGGGATTTACTACTATTAAAAAGGAAACATAAACAAGTATTAAAGGAAGCAAAAGGAATGGGGTGATGAAAAATAAAATAAAATTAATTTAACGGAAGACGCTGTAGTATTTATACAGACAAGAAAACGATTTAAAATGAGATGGGTAATATTACAAATGGGGCAGTACCATAATTGACCCAGTTACAAAGAGAAAGCATGTAAAATATTTTATATGCTTGAAAACGGAGATTCGTCCTTAAGACCTCACTAATATGGTTAAAGGCCAAAAAAAAAACACTTAAATAGAGAAAGCACAATTTGCATAAAATCAGAACACAGAACTAGCAATTGTACTAAAAAATCTATGTAAATCCTTAAAGACTAGTAGAAACACAATTTGCATAAAATCGAACACAATTGCTTAAGATACACTAATATCTTTAAGTAGCAGAGAACGAGGCTTATGTATTTTTCATTAGCTTGGTTGACTACATATCTTACCCACAGTTATAGACAACATTATGAACCAAATTCATCCCAGACTTCCTGTCAATAATGGGCAAGAAACATTCATCCATGATAGATAATGCAACAGCTAGCTTAGAGTTGCACTCCACCCTGAGAGAAAATCCACTCTGTGAGGCATCAGACACGTCTTTTCTTTGAATAAGCGACCATGAAAATCCTGCTTCCAATTCATGTCTAACTCCAAGGATCTTCTGTAAATGATCAAAAAGCTGCAAATGCAAAAAAACATTGACATAAAGTACAATTGACAATATGTTGAGCAATTCACTATCTCTTGTGGAGTAACTACTCATAGGAAAACCTATGCACAGCACCTCTTGGCACTTCACTCCACAGAAAGATGCACCATCTGAATTCAAAGGTAGAGCATTTGAATGTTCACCGCACGATTTGTGATCTACAAAAAGATGAGACCGAATGATCAAGATAGTTACATTGAAAAAATAAAATATATATATATATATATATATATATATATATATATATACATAAAGACTGCATTTGCATATTTCTGAGAGATATGTGAGATGGAGAGAAAATAAGAAATGCAAGTAGAACTCTAACACTGTAAAAACCTATTACATTTTTTCTCACAGAAGTAGCATCTTCTAAGGTCATCCTCGGCACTCTCGTTTTNAAGAAAGCACCCATGCTATAATATATTAAAGCCGCAATACTTTGAACTGGATTTATTTACTGCCTAAGAAGAGCAGAAATATAAACAATTTGTAACAAATTCAGGAGGCAAATATGTGAATGCATAAAGTGAAAAATATGCACAAGCCTCACCAATCACACACTTAAGTTCAATTTTAGTGATGATTAAAACATACACACAACTTTTATGCTAAAAAAATCCACCAAAAAGTACCTGTATCTCCATACAGATCTGATGAAAAGTTGACGGGCAACTATCACAACAGATCAGATCACCTCCATCGCCACAAATCCCACACGTGTCATCATCTGGATCATCACCATCAACACGAACACTACAGAAATCCTGAAGCAAAGCCTCATCCTGACTATTCCAGGCATCAACCTGGCACTGCAAAAGTGACGAGCCCGACTCCAAGAATATATTGTGAAATGGCTGGCGCAATTTGCTGCCAGCATGCACCTCAAACTTCGAGACAGTAAGAATTTTACTGCAACATCCACAGTGGATCCCTTCTCTAGTGATCCACCCTTCTAACATCACCCGGCTTCTCTTCTGGTTCATATACTGCACTTTTTCACTTAATCTTGCTTTTCCAGAGTCTATCAGCCAGGACAAGACAGTTCTTTTCCCAGAATAAGGAACGTACTCATCAGAATCTGAGCTATCCCCATTATCATGCCCACGGACCATAAGGGTGCAACTCCCTGTAGCTTTAGAACTTAAACCCTTTGAAGACCTGTCAACTCTGACTTTCTCTCTTTTCCTTTTCGGGGAACCTTCAATTGATTCATCATCTTCATCGCTATCTGAGGTCTCTGCACGCTTGTCCTTTTTTCTCTTCCTTTTCGCTCCATCCTTCACTTTCCTTTTGGTTTGTCTCGTGAGTTTATTTATGAGATCTTCGGGTAGAGGTGCAAACAACGGGGACCCCATTTCCGAACTATTTTTTCCATCTTCATCTACTAACTGTTTCTTGAGCGCTTCATGTGCCTTTGTAATTGACCAGTAAGCTGTCCCACCAGGGCTAATGTAGACAGCATCTAAATAGTCTCTATTACGCCTCGGCCTATAGTCGATGGTCCACCCAGCATCAACTAACATCCCTCTTAGCTTCTCTCGCAGCTTTTGCTTTTCGGTACTCCCACCACGCTGCGCTTTACCTTCTTTTCCTTTTATGGGAGTAAAATTCTTGGGAGGTGAAGATCTTTCTTGCTCTTTTTTCATCCTTTTCTTTGATTTATATACTTGTATACTTCCATTTACCTTCTCCTTTTTCTCTTTCTCAGCACTTTTCTCATTATCAGCAAACAGATCCTTCTTGGCTGCATCATCGGACCTCGAAGCTTTTCCTTCTTTCAGTTCAATAGTGTCGTCATTCTTAGCCTGGGAAGAGAAGTCCACCTTTTTCTTCTTTTTCACCATAACCTTCAAAACACCGTTTTTCCCCTGCACCCTGATTGGTTCACCAGCCGTCTTCTGAATCTTCGACCTTAAAAGAAAAATGGGCATGTCATCATCATCATCATCATCCACCGCGTGCTTTTTACTATGCTTCACATTTTCGCCCTTCAACCCCATTTTGCTTCCACTACCACTATGGTGAAAATTCCTATTAGATAAACCAGAACCAAAACCCTTCATCACATTCCCACTATACTTCCTCTCGATTTTCTCAAACCTATCCTCAACATACAAGTTCCTCATCGTCTTAGGGTCAAATTCATCGTATTCGTCAAAATCAAACAACTCCAAACTACTCCGTTTCCTCCCACCACTGAACTCTCTATTTTCAAGACTCTCTTTCTTATGGGATTTCAAACCGTTGTCCGATCTCCTTTCACTCACTTTTCGTCTCATAAACTCCAAAGGTACATCCTCATCACTCGAACCCGAACTGGAGCTCGTGCCTGTGCCCGAGCCTGAGCCCGAATAAGTTTCAAGCAACCTATCCCTTTCTTTCGCCTTGCTATCATCATACAGGCCCCCCGAGCCACCTCCCGAATTCTTATTCCCCGATTTCTTCTTGATAACCAAACACCCCGAAGGACCTTTCTTCTTCAAGATTCCGGCTTTCGCGCTTCTTTCCATTGTCATGCAACAGACAGCGCGAAATTCACCTCGGAATTAACAAAAGCGAGGCATTTTATCGGGGAAAAAAGAGAGCTGCAATTCTATAAACCCAGCATTATTAGATCTGGAGCGAAACTCAGAACTTAACAGTGGTCGATAGGTGATGAAATATGTGGGATATCTTTAACTGAACTCAAAACGATAATCGAGTGTGCTAAATCGGATATGAATTTCGAAATTCTGGATGATGTTCTTGAAGAAAATCAATAGAAGAAAAGGGCAAGAAAGTGCGAAGAATGAATTGGTCTGGACTCTCGGCTGTGCGAATAGTATGAAAAAAGGAAAATATGAAAATAGAAGAGTAAATTAAAAAATAACAACATAAATTAAAATACGATATGTGTATGTATTTGTATTTCAAAATAATGATTAATCAACTTGTTTAAGGTGTGATTGAATATGAATTTGTTTAGTTTTTTTATTGATTTTTTGTTAATTATAGTTGATTTTGAAAAATGTAATATTACTAGTTGCTAGATACAAAATTATAAGGACGTTTTTTCTCAAAATAAATAAATAATAATAATAAATAAATGGATAATATAAAAAATGACGCATGCATTATTGCAAACCATTAACCATGTCAATATAAAGGTACATGTGATGATAAATTTCAGATTATGATTTGTGATAACCGACCTGACCTGACGTGCCACAAATTAAAACATAGTGTGGTTTCGTTGTTTTTGAAAAACTCAAAATGAATACATTTAAAGTGTCAATGGACACTCCAATAACCAGCACAAAGATTGAATCAACCCCTGAGAACTACACAACCAATATAGAGAATAACCAGACTAAGACAGACAACAAATAAAAGAGAAACACTAAAAACAAACAACTCACACTTATATAACACACTGCAATAAAACCCTATTCACTACTTACCGCAAAATCTGATGCAGAAGATAGGTGATGAAAGGAGATTTCACAGAGAACTAAAGAAGGACACACAAATTTCTTTCTAAACGATGAAAATAAAAATCTGATAACTCCTTTTTTCAGGCTCACAACCGTTCTCTTAAATATTACATCAAATCCTAATAACTATTAATTAAGCCCGAACACAATAAGTCCACTACTAAATAATAAAAGCCCAAACATAATATAAATAAACACACCTAAATAATAATAAAAATATAATAATATCACACTAAAGGACGGAGTCGATCATATGTATCGAGAAATACTAACGCACTCTCGTCGGCATCAGTCTCCCCCGTTGGAGAGGATTCGCCCTCGAATCCGTACCACTCTCGTCGGTAGAATTGTCTCCATGAGGCACTAAATGCTTGACATTAAAGACATTTGAAGTACGCACATGAGACGGTAAACGAAGACGGTAAGTGTTCGGATTAATCTTCTCAATAATCTCAACAGGACCAATCTTTCGAGCCGATAATTTGTTGTACTTCTGTGCCGGAAAACGATCCTTCGTCAGAACTGCCCACACGAAATCACCCACATCAAACTCAACGTGTCGGCGCCGAATGTCGGCTCACTGCTTATAGGCAGCAGTAGTGGCCTCCAAATTAGCACGCACATCAGCATGAGTACGTCGCAAATCAGACATCACATCCGTCGTGCGGCGATCATCAAGATCAGAAGAAGGGAGAGAAATCAAATCAGCTAGCCCACGGGGTACAAAACCATATACCACCTGAAACGGACAATAACGAGTAGCGCGACTAACAGTAGAGTTATGTGCAAACTCAGCCTGACTAAGGCGAAGATCCCAAGAACGCAAATTATCACCAACCAGACAACGAAGCAAATTACCCAAAGAACGATTAACAACCTCAGTCTGACCATCGGTTTGTGGATGGTAAGCACTACTAAAATCAAGTCTGGTGTTCGTCTGTCGCCACAAACTATGCCAAAAGAAACTAAGAAAGCGTGTATCACAATCAGATACAATAGAGGTCGGCAATCCATGCAAACGATATATCTCTCGAAAAAACAGTTGTGCCACACGCACAGCATCAGTTGTACGTTTGCAAGGAATAAAATGGGCCATCATAGAAAAGCGATCGACAACAACAAAAATAAAATCGTTACCTCGCTGAGTACGGGGTAAGCCAAGAACAAAATCCATGCTAATGGAAGTCCATGGCTGTGAAGGAATCGGCAGGGGCCGATATAAACCAGCATTAGTAGCAACACCCTTCGACACCTGACACACCCGACATCGCTCTACAAAACGAGAAACATCCCGTCGAACAGTAGGCCAAAAGTAGCGTCGCTGGACGAGCTCAACAGAACGATCCCGTCCCACATGTCTGGCTCCATGAAGGTCCTCAATCAACTTCAACCGAAGACTACAATCAGGAACACAAAGTCGAATTCCCTTAAAAAGGAAACCCTCACGAAGTACAAAATCATCAACTGGACCGGAAGCCAAACGAACAAAAATAAGGCCAAAGAAAACATCGGAAGCATACAAGTCGCGTAATAAATCAAACCCAAACGACCTGAATACGCATATCCGACAGAAGAAGAGAACGGCGGCTCAAAGCATCGGCAACTCGATTGGAAACACCCGACCGATGTTTAAGAACAAAGGTGAACTGCTGTAAAAAGGATGTCCAAGAGGCATGTCGAGCTGAAATGTTTTCCTGAGAAGAAATATGGCGAAGTGCCTCATGATCAGTAAAAAGCACAAACTCCCGGTGAAATAAATAATGCCGCCAATGTCGAACAGCACGGACCACAGCATAAAATTCGACATCATAAGTGCTGTAACGGGATCTGGGACCTGACAACTTCTCACTAAAGAAAGCTACAGGTTGCGCCTCTTGGCAAAGGACTGCCCCAATCCCCACCTTGGATGCATCACAAGAGAGCTCGAAAAGCTGAGAAAAATCTTGAAGCACCAAAATTGGAGCCGAAGTGAGCTTCCGTTTAATGAGATCGAAAGCATCAGCAGCCTGAGGAGTCCAGAAAAAAGATTTGACTGTAAGACAATCAGTAATAGGGGCGGTAATAGAGCTGAAATGAGCAATGAAACGTCTATAAAAGGAAGCCAGGCCGTGAAAACTATAAGCCTCGATGAATGTCGTAGGAGTCAGCCAACCCCGAATAGCAGCAACTTTATTCTCATCAACTCGAACACCCTCTGAAGAAATAATAAATCCCAAAAACAACAAAGAATCCACAAGGAAAGAGCACTTGCCCGGAGAGGCATAGAAAGACTCAGCTCGTAAAAGGAGAAGTACCTCACGGACATGATGTAAATGCTTCTCAACTGAACGACTGTAGACTAGTATGTCGTCGAAATAAACGACGACACACTTCCCGATAAGGTCACGAAGTGTCTGATTCATCACCCGCATAAAGTACTCGGAGCATTAGACAACCCAAATGGCATAACCATCCACTCGTACAAACCCTCTCGAATCTTAAAAGCCGTCTTCCATTCATCACCCAGCCGAATCCGAATCTGATGATACCCACTCCGAAGATCTAACTTGGAAAACACAGTCGCACCATGTAATTGATCTAACAAATCATCCAATCGTGAAATATGAAAACGATAACATACCATAATCTTATTTATCGCATGACTGTCAACACACATCCTCCACGACTTGTCCTTCTTCGGAATGAGGAGAGCCGGCATTGCACAAGGGCTGAGACTGCGGCGAATAGAACCTTTCCGTAACAATTCCTCAACCTGACGGCGAAGCTCCTTGTGCTCTGTTGGACTAATCCGATAATGAGGACGATTGGGCAAAGAAGCGCCCGGCACCAAATCAATTTGATGTTGAATATCACATAAATGAGGTAAACCACTAGATAAGTCGGTGGGAAAAACATCAGCAAACTCCTGAAGCAAAGGCTGAATCAAGGTAGGAGGTGAAACATCGGAGACCGAGTCAGAACCAACAATAAGAATAACCATAGGAGCATCAATCATCTCACGAACAAAGGCAGACCGGAAAAGAAATAATACAGATGAAGAAGAAGGTGACTGATCCACTATAGGTCGCGCAGATAGCGAACGAGATAATGAAGGGTGGAGGACTATCCGAGCACCATGGAAAAGAAAACCATACGTGTTGAGACGCCCGTCATGAACAACAACACGATCAAATTGCCACGGTCGGCCTAAAAGCAAGTGACAAGCATCCATCGGAACAACATCACACCAAATCTCATCCTTGTACGTAGATCCTACTGAAAAGGCCACTAAGACCCGACGATCCACCGTAACAGAAGTCCCCTTCTGTATCCAAGCTAACGTATACGGCTAAGGATAGGGTTCCGTTTTCAAATGCAACTTCTCCACTGCATCTGAAGCAACCACATTAAGCCTGACGATGGCCCAGTTCGCCACAAGAAAAACACCGAGGAGCACCTGTCTGACGGATGTTACCCCCGGGCGCAGTACCACCAACAGGATTGTCGGAAGAAGCAGAAACCCCAGGCGGTCGAAAGATGAAGGTGGTCCCAAAGTCGTTGGATGAGTCGAAGGCTGTCGAGGCGGTAAAAAGGACGAAGTCGAGCCCTCTGATGCGCCTCAGAAACCGAAACCGGAGTAAACAGGTTCAACACATCCTGGACAGAAACACGTAACCCCCCAATATATCGAGACACTAATTGATCCGGAGTCTCACGTATATCCACACGGGCAAGAAGTTTATAGAACTCCTCCGTATAATCGTCTACAGTACGTAATCCTTCCCTTAAATTTTGTAATCGTTGATACAAAGTACGAACATAATTAAAAGGCAAAAAATTCACGTTCAAGATACTTACGGAATTTCAACCACGATATTATTTTCGGTTTGCCCTGGCAATGCCGCACCCCCTATAACTCTAACCACCAAGCAGCTTCACGTCCACGTAGTCGAGTGACGACAAGAGCAACCCGTCTATCATCCGGTATATTCTTAAAATCAAGAGCGGCCTCAACGGCGGCCAACCAATCGAGAAAATCACTGACATCCAGGCCACCAGAAAAT